GTTGTGATTTTTTGTTGTATGATTTGTTTGTTTTTTACTGCAATTAACAGTCATGTTATTTAAAAAGTCACGTCGAACTGTACCTAAGCTGTGTAACACAAAACAAAATTAAATATTTGTAGGTGTTGATTAATGTTTTAGGTGCCGAATTATAAAAGTGGTTACCTAATTGCCTTTGGTGTATAAAATGTCAACAAAATTGTCTTATCAGATGTAGGTAAGTATGTACTTACGTGGATTTGAGTTAAATTAATTTAAGAAAATAATCTTTCTTTAGTTTCACTAACTTATACAAACCTACAGTTTAGTTAGGTAGGTTTAGGACGTCAGCCCTTAGTAAAATTAAGTTAACATTAGGCTACGTATAGAAACTCAGTAGCCCGCTCCCTCTTACCCGTCCGCTCCGCTTATCACTGTGTCACAGGCTCGCAAGAGCCCCACTAATGATTGTTCATGATTTATTTGCCCAGCTTATTTTTATAGTCGCCTGATTCCACACGATGGTGGAAAGGTGTACGTCTCCATTATTTTTTACTTGTCTCCCTATCTATTTGTGGGAACAGTTTGTCCGACAAGTTTAAGTAAGAAGTTTGAATATAAATAAGGACTAGGTTTTGGGAAAGTCGCAGATCGTGGTGGTAGGTAGTCTTTTTTAGATTTTCTTTTCTTTTCAGACATATTAATATTGGTACTTTTTTGTTATAGAGTTAGTTTATTTGCAGTTTCTGCACGATTAGTGCCATTCAGTGGTTAAGTTGTAGCGATGTGGGTTCCCTTCCCGCATAAATACGTTAATTCTTGTTACCACTATAAGGTTCACCCGCCCCTAATAACGATATTATTTATGACCAGCGAGGCTATTCTGTAAGATGTCAATTCGAGCTCTCGAAGTGAGGTCAATCGGATTCTCACCCGTCATAGGTCGAGATTATTCTCAGTACCAATTTATTATGACATGGTGGACCGCGCACGAACTCACTTCGAGTTCGAATTGATATCTTACAGAATAGCCTAGCTGTACTTGTTTAGATAAAGGCATTAGATCGTAAAAACTTGATCTTACAGGTGCATCAACCATGGAATGAGTGTTATCAATTTAAAGGTAAGCACACAAAATTGTAGTCAGTGAGACTAATGACGTATCAACTCGATTTCCTAATTGGAATTGCATTAAATGGAACGTTTTTGACTTTGAATGAAAGTTATTACCAAAATTTAATAAATACCTATAAATATTATTACTTTTGGTTCGCTCGAGTTCAATGGGAGTTACGAGATTCACAACTCGAGTCGAGTTGGTATGTCGTAACTCGAATTTAATACGAGTTGTGTTTTTAACCAAAACTGACCCAAGTCGAGTCACAAATCGATACCTTTACAAAAACTATCATTTAGAGGGTATACCAACGAAAATAAAACCAAAATATTCACATCAGTTTAATTTATTAAAGTAAAAATTACTTATGTAGGTATGTATGTATTACCACAAAACAAATACATCTTCCTTCAGATTTTGTGTCACAAAATAAAATTGCTATCTGTATGACACTGCGACGGTTATTTTGATGAGCACTTACGTCCTTTGGCAGTCATGGCTAGCACTAAACTTATGTAAAACAAAGAGAATTTGAACTTAATAATGTCACAAATAGGTTGAAAATGCCTTGAAGATATTTGACAGTACCTATAAGTTCATATTAAAATGACATTGCCAATTATGTTAAAATTCTTATGTACTACAGGGCCAAACCAGGACACAGTTTAAGTCTTCGACTTACGAATAAACATTGGAAAATAGATATAAAGATTAGTGACTCTTCATAAATATTAGACGCAAGTGCCCACAATAACAAATTAGCGAAAACAATTGAAAATTCCTATCGAATATTCAGATCTTAATATAAAATACAATATTAACATAAACTATGTATTGTTTAGTATGCTATAACAACCATTTTCTTCTGTAACAATTTATAGAATTATGTTTGAGCAGTAACGAATTGGACAGACAAATGTAGGACTATGTTACTATTGTATTATTTTTATGGGATAGGCCGGCAAACCAGCAGACGGATCAACTGATGAGACCTACAATATCGGAGAAAGAATAAATATTTAGAAATGCATTACGGGCCTGTTAACCCAGAGGTCACCCAATGAAGTCTCATGTAAAGCTCATTGGGAAAAACTTAAGTTATGCGACCATTTCACAATTCATATTAATAGTATGTGTATTTCAAATGGTAGTAATAATGTTTAATTATTATTGGAAAAGGGGCTAAGTACAATGTTTATACTTTCTGTATCAACAGAATAAATAATGTAGACTGTACAATCCATTACCACAAAAACACTATGTACTTTAGACTTTATCATTATAGCCGCAGTGTCGATTTTCTCTTGCATGTTTGTGCGGGTATAACTTTAAATAATTCTCTATAGCATTCACCTGTAATGGTACAAAAATAACATTGGACCCAATTCACTCCAACACGTTTAAAGGGTACTATAATAATTATTTATTAATTTAATTGTGTAGGGCAAACATCTATGTACCATATTTAGTATATAAAAAGTATATATTGGACGATAGATATGGTTGGCGAAACAGTAGAATTACTATTAAAACATTTTTAGAAATATAGAAGTATATTGTCTTGCAATAAGGTTCAAAAACACTATACAAATGTTGCGAATAAAAATAATCAATCCTTCAATTTACTTAATTATTTGGTACATAGACGTTTTATTCGGCTTGAATACATATGAGCTTGCACTAGGGATCTAAGTTATCAGAGATAAATAGAACCTAATTGTGCAACCACGTATAATTCGAAGCCCCAGCCAAGCTTTGACGATTACTCGGTCTATTTTAAGTTAACCGTCACTTTTAGCAAATAACTCATCTCTTTAAAAATAAATCGTATCTAATTGCAGCTAAAAAGGACTGTTTTTTTAATTATTTTTGAACCAACTAATCGTCCATACACTCTCAGCCTTTTACTGAATCTCTTGTGAGCTTTTCCATGTTCGTTGTTGATGGTAGACTATTACTATTACCTATTACTATTAAAATATATTTAATTAAGTACATAATAATACATTATCAGAGTTATTGTTTAAGGACACAACAAATTACATCTTCATACTTAAATTTCTTGGATATCTCGCATTTCAATTTTGTTTAGACTTATTGCCGTTTACACCAACCTCTCCTAAATTTTAAGGAACTCCTAAGCTAAGCTCCACTTAAAGATTTGTTGGATTTTACCAACCTATACCTACCACACACCTAACAGTGGAAGTAGGTAAGGATTTAGTTTCGGTGTTTCCCCCTAAGTCTTATTTAGGAGTGGTTGGTGATAACTCCCGTTAGTTTTTATTTTTGTCTAAGTTTCGAAGACCGTTTATAGTTGTAGGGAAAATCTCACAAAAGACGAATATCTAAATCTAATTTAATTATTAATATCCCATCTGAAACAAAAACTACATTTATTCAAATTGTCTTTCACCAATATGGCGTAGATTTCCATCAAAAAATCAAGTAAATATATGAATAATATATAATCAACTATTGCTTTATACCATGGAAACAGTACCACATATTAAAAAAATATTGCTATCTTTGCATAACACGATTAAAAGGAAATTTAATTTAGGACACACACGCCCGAATACTGAAAAACTACTAAATTTTAAGTTGCGTACCATCTCTATCATTTGCCAAAGAATTTGTAGTGACAGGACAAGGGCGACTTAAAATTGAGTTGCATAGAATATTCGAGCAATACACACTGAATCCACGGTACTGAGAAAATCTTTAAAAATTTCAATATATTCTAATTATACCAATTATATGAACATTGAAACATTAGGTATTGGTGTTACATAGACTTTTAAGACTATGGGTCTACTGTTTAAGACAAAGGACCCGACAAATCATTATGGTGTTAAAAACCTTTACATTTTTATTGCCAAGCAAATTCCGCGGTTAACCCATTTCCAATCTTATTCGCTTATTTTTGGACTGAAAATTGGTTAACAACGAAAATTACTAACCTTATAAGCTACACGTCAAAATCGTTATAAAGTAAATAATATTAATTTCAAATCATTGAGTGATATCAGTAGATTTAAATCGCAAACTCTTTGCTAAGTTCTAACACAAAAGTTAATAATTAATATTTTTAGTAGATTGAACAACTAAGGCATTTTGGAATACATGAACGTACCTATAAAAGATATTTCATCCTTTTTCGTAAAAGACGCGACTTTCAACCTTCATAGTTAGAACTTAAGAGCCAAAATGCACAATTTACAATATTAATTCTAACAAAAATGTACTTGTGAAATGACAGACCATTTAATTGAACAACGAAATCAATGTAGTAAAGGAATAATTGACAAAATGCTGACTATACTTGAACCAGGATATAAACAAGCATTATATACTATAACATATATAAAAACATTAAATTAGTGTTTAATATAAGCTGTGACAGGTTCATACCTGAAATAGTTCACCACTGAATTGAGAAAATAACGTTTATAAATACGAATAACTTGGCACATTATAATTTATACCTACTACACATGACAATAAAGATAAATTTAATGTGAATGAATTGATGTTGGAAATCTGAGTAATATTTAGTTTACAGGTAACACGATTTTGTACAATAACTCACTGTTTTTAGACATGCTATTAAAATTCTTTATTCATTTAAGTTTCTTGTTGCATGTTCCAGCACAACTTGTCAGAATTACAAGCATTATAAGAGAAAAATCTTGTGATTTCAATAAATATCTGGGAGCACGGTAGTGTAGCCAAGACGATTAATGTGTGTCTACGTTTTTTCAATTGTTTTGGCAAAGTTTGTGATCAGAAGTTTAGAAATTAAAGTTAATTCTTTCACATTTCACTTAATTTAACACAGATGATGAATAATTAAAATAAAGAAAATTCTATCAAAAACTCTAACAACATTAACTTGATATGTTTAAGCCAGTACAAACCAGCAAGTAACTTCACTTGATTACATGACTTTCAAAAATACGTTTTTGCTAATTGAAGTAAATAAAGACTGCATAGTGAACCACTAATTAACGTTTGTATAGTTCAGCATTTCCCCAGTTACCCGCTTACCGTCGCCTGTGTATGTTCAGTAGTTGTTCCTGAAGCTCCTGTTGGGTTTGAAGCCGCCGCCACCACCGCCACCGCTGGGCGAGGAGTTCAAGAACAACTCGACGTAACGGTGATCCATATTGTTCTTGTCACGTCTCATTGCCTGGCGACAGAAATCAGGAATAATTTATTACAATATCTCAAAGAGAAACCTTATGTATCAGGAGTGGATGTGTTGTGACTGAAATATAACTATGTAACAACCGTAGAAGAAAAATTAAATAATGTGAATAGGCATTATAAAAATAGCCAATAACAACTTATCTACTCACCCTCATAGCATCTTCGTGACATTCGAACTCCACATCAGCTTCGCCGGAAGGCCGACCACTGTTGTCATACAGAATGTTGATGTTCATGGGTCGGATTGGCTTGAAGAACTGCAATATTAAACATAATATTATTACAATTATTCTATCACTAGCTTTTACCCGCGGCTTCGCTCGCGTCACAAAAGAATAAAAAGTAGCCTAATGTGACATATACCAATACACACAGCGCCATCTATACCAATACTTTTGTTTTTCCTCGGGAATATCAATTTTTTCCAGGTTAAAAAGTACCCTATTATTTAATCCGGACTTCTAACATTACGTCTGCAAAAATTCAAAGCAATCGGTTGAGTAGTTACGGCGTGAAGGTGGAACAAACAAACAAACAAACAAACTCACTTTCAGATTTATAATATTATATAGTAAGGAAGTAAGGATAGAATCTGGAGAGTTATTTTAAATTCTACCAAGTATGGTGGCTGTTTTCCACGGGATAATACACTCCAATGGCCAATACTATAAAGTATACTAACATAGGCGATATCTTGTGGAGTAGCCTTGAATGGCAGGCCGCGCATGTGTACGCAGTGACACCCACTGCCAGCACGACGGAATCCACCGCGGCCGCCGCCGCCATAACCACCGCCTGTTGAAAATATTATAACAATCTTGACATTGTTATAGCTATGTAACTATTTATAATAATTTGTGCATGCAATTATCATAAATACAGCAGTCTAACTTAAGTATAAAGGCGAACTAGCGGAAAAGTTCATGATAGTAACATAGATATCTAAAAAGATTACTATTTTTATTCTTTGAATATGTTTTTATTATTTGAATGAATGCTAGTGCATTCATTATAATGATAGGAGATAACCATTAATCAATTACAAGCACTTCCATGCACACTGCTTACCTTCTATAAAAGCAGACTAAAAGCAATAACCACCACCGAGTAAAACTCACCCCTACCAAATGAACCTCGTCCCCTATTGCCGAATCTTCCAGAAAATCTGTCGTTCCTGTCGTACGGGGTCGGTCTGTAACCTCTTGATGAGCGGAACCCACTCTCAATACGAGCAGTGTAAGCACGAACCTCGTCTGCGGAACTCAGGAATACTTCAATGTACCTGTTGGGTAAAAATAAATGGTAAAATGGTTGTCATAATATTTGTGACTTGGCGGGTCTCTACCGGTTTTATGTTTTTTGTTATAGAAGTTAGGAAGCTGTAAGTTGGTTTATAGTGTAGAGTAAATATGTTGTAATTTGTATGTATTAACTACCAATCAAGAAATATTAATAATAATTAATTAATTTCATAAATTCTTATATTTATTACAATTTAATGGCTCAGTGTTGTTTTGATCATGTAAGACTTATTTCGTAATGTTTCTTTTGTTCAGTTATAAATAGAAAACCGCAATCCAATTAAGCAATAGCTGATAAGGGATATATTTGACATATCTTCGTAAAGGCATATTTCATAACGTTTATCAGGCTGAAGCTTCCTTGAAGGTTCAAATTTTCCTGTTCCTGACATCATAGCTAATCTTGCAGAATAAATAGTACCCTCCCCTTTGCACTCTCCCATGCTTGCTTAATAAAATATACAGTACATACATAAACGTCTCAAACTATAACTACATAATTATAATGATGATATTACAATAAATATGTACACAATCTTTGCTGAAAAATATATAAATTATGTTTGCATTTTTTAAGCAATTTTCCTTTGAGAAATACATATAACCTGAAAACCCTTATACTAACAAATACCACGTTTCATTTAAATAATATTAATATGTCGATCCCGCTGTCCATCTTGCCCGCTTCGTCTCTTCGACCCGCGCCCCGCTCCCCTCGCCCCGCGCTCTCCCAACCTCTGACAACTCAACAACCAATCACTAATACCACTCCTGAATGCCACCTTTTGAGGACCAGCCATTAACATACGGCATTGCAGAATTATTCAATACCGTATCTAAGGGAACTAGCCCCATGCAACACTTTTATGTTTAACTCAGTACAATAAAAACAATAACACAAACAAAATAAAATTAAAATAATCTGCACCCAAAACAACAGCAGTTGTTCGTCATTGGTTTTGTGTAAGACGCCAACTGCCAGATGAACATTAAACAGAAAAGTGCTGAACAAAGGTAGCATTAAGAAAGTGTCAAATTGTAAATTGCTTTTTGTAATATACATGTTTCCATTACACAAAATCCCATAATTCAACTATTACGCCCACCATTCTGTTACTGGCCAATATGATTTCTCACCATTCTCAAATTCCATTAAAATATCACCAAATAATTCATTTCATTCACCAAAAGTAGAAAACCATATAAGTAGACCAATAACATAGGAGGCCCCTTACTTAACCCACTACACCAAATATAATATTGCCATCAGGGTTTGTCTGGCTGTGATGGGCAAATAGGGCACCTATACTTGAAACCTACACATATGTAAACTGTACAACCTGCACTTTAGTTTATTGTAACATAATTTACATATGAAATAACTTTTGAATTAATATTACCAAGCAATGAAAACTGGTGAGTAAAATATCAACAAGCTGACATAATCATTTACAACATCCTGTTAAATGTTTTACTATACAATACAAAAGTTGATGAATTATCCTGATTAATTTTAGCTGACTCCATTATAATATTGTTATCCGACCAAGCAGATATTTCACAATGCCTGACATCTATTGCCCTAAGTTCCCACCATAGCCTTGTCTCAAACCGTGAGCACATTGTAAATAACTTTGCCCCCCACCTGTGTCCTATTTTCTCCCTGTCCCTGTTGAGAGCCTCTTGTGCGCTCTCCTTGTCTACGAAGTGTACGAACGCCTCTCCCGAGGCCCGCCCCGTGACGTCGGAGAGCAAGTGGACCCCATCCGTGGCGACCGTCAGCCCTGCCCCATCCGACGTGCAAATAAAGATCAGGTTATATGCCTTGGGGTAAAGGTAGCTGGCTGGGGGTAACGTACGACACGCATGCAGGGTGAATCTCTTCCAATTTACGCTTTAATAATCTCTTCCAATTTATGCTTTCATATCTCTGAGTACAACTGAAGTACTTTAGTTATTGTTTCTTTTTGCTATCGTGATTTTTCCTTGCATGCTACTATTTGTAAGTGTATTTTTATGTTCAATTAAGATAAGCATTTCTATTAACAACATATATTTTTCTAACAATTTACCCTCAGCACAGCTACCAAATATACCTAATAAAATAACCCCACACAGAGTTCTAACATGAAGTTTTTCTTGTAAATAGGTCTTACCGTCAAAGAACTGGATGATTTCTTCTTTATTGCAGCCAAAAGGCAAGCCTCGCAGCTTAACGATACCCATATCATCAGATACATTAGGTATACCATCAAAGCCACCATTCTCAGATTGACGCATGGCATTTATAGCCCATTCCATGTCTTGGCGGTCGGTGGAAAAGACTGAAAGCAAATAACATTATTTTATTACTCAACAGAAACAAAATGAATTATAAAACATAGTGTTTCAGTTTTAATTGAAGTAAGTACAAGTTTTATCAGTTTTGACCCACAATTTTAGTATCATTGTGAAAACAAACCTGCTATTCATGTTACTCACTTTGCGTTTTCCTGTTATTTGAATTGTACGCAAAACAAAGTTGATAGCCAATTATGGTATATGAACTAATTTGAATACAAATTTTTATTATAAGTGAGTAAGTGACAGGGAAAATTAAAAATACATTATTGTTTTGTGTTATTTTTACCTTAACACAACTTTGTTTAGCATGTTTTTTAGAAATTTAGAGTATGACCTTTTATTCTACTACAGGTCTGATTCGAAAAATTTCATTTGTGGAAGGCTTTACTATGACCAATGGAACCGAGCAGCGGCTGAAACCGCACAGAAGTAGCTGGTTATAATTTTATTGATTTTGATACTTACTCTCAATGTATCTCTTGCCCATGTTATCTTTATCCTTCTTGAGAGCTTCTTCCACATCTTGCTGGCTCTCTACTTCCACGAAACATTCTCCAGAAGGGCGACCTGGTCGCACCTCGGTCAAGTGCACGCCTGAAGTGAAAAACATTATAGTATTGTATTTGTAGAGTAAAAAATATTTAGTAGCATTAATTTTTGGCCTAGTTGTTGAAATTTAACTAATGTTTGCACCTAATTTAAATGTAAATAAAGTCATAGCATTAATGCATATAGGCTGAAAATGGCACCGGAATGTCGTCACACTCATGCACCTGAACATTCAAGCACACTGTTTATGCTTAGATATTGCACAATACTTGTGTTCAGGAGCATCGGCTAATTTATATAGTTGCTACTTAACTAAGCACATTGGATCAACAGTTAAGTGAAACTAATATGTGTAAACTTTGTATTATTAAGACAGGAGGTACATACAACAGTGTCACGGTAATATAATCATAATACGGTAAGTGACAGTGTTGTAGAGGATAGTTAGTTACATTGGAGTTGGACAAAGTCAGGTTTATTATTGTAACTGCAAAAGCGTGGGCGCCGGACGAAATGACCGCGCGACCCTTCCTACGTTCAATGAAAATATGTTTAAATATGGAACAGACAATTACATCAACAGAACGGAACGCATTCAAGCCTAACTCAGAAACCAAAAAAAACCACTGAAACTTGTACCTACTGTTCGGATTTTCTAAATTATCATAATAAAGTAATAAGAAATCTCATATAACCACAGTTCGAATTAAAAGCTGTGTTATAGAATTTTAATAAACATTTCATTTATCCGTTAAACAGACAGATAACCGGTATATTTGGCAAAGGTCAAAATGGCAAGGCAGTGACGAAATTCGAATCAAAGCAGTAATTTTGTACTTTCAAATATTAAAAATACTATAGAATTGTCCTTCTATCACTTTTTTCAAAATGTTGCTTACCTTCTTTACCATTACACACGTTGACGCCCCGGAGAAAATCGAGGACATCTTCGACGGTGGTGGAGAAAGGCAAGCCGCGCAACTTTATGATGTAGCTGCTATCCCCAGAACCCAACATTTTTTCTAATAAAAATACCACACCAAACTATAAAGAACACAAACTGTTTAAAAATATCAAAATTAAATCTTGTCGAAGTAAAACTGAATGCTAAATTGTTTTTACGAAATACGCGTCGATCACCCGCTTCGATAGCTAGTCGGCCATTAATTTTTTTTTTAAATGCTGCGTGTAGTGTTGCCCTATCCTTATGCATGCCAGTCAGTTAGCTTAGCGTAGCGTTAACAAAACTACCCAAACTTTTTAGACTAAAGTATTTTTTTTGGTTATAAATAAATCAGTTTTGAGTTTGAAATCATTAAACAGTTATTAGTTGGTGGCTTTGATTAGTTACGAGTGCATAGGACATGCGGAGCGAATGCTTCGTTCGGGTGGGATATCTACAATGAATTGGTGACGCTTCGCCGATTGTCTTGTCATATGTTGATGGCAAAGGCTAGAGGCTAAGTGTGGGACTGGGAGAGCCATGCTTCGGCACGAATGGGCCGGCTCGACCGGAGTGATACCACGGCCTCACAGAAAACCGACGTGAAGCAACGCTTGCGTTGTGTTTCGTAGTGTAAGTGAGGTTACCGGAGGCCCAATTGCAATTACCTTCCCCAATCTCCCCAATCCCTGAATGCCCAACGATCTTTAAACTCCTAATCCCCAAAAAGCCGGTGACGCACTTGTAATGCCTCTGGTGTTCCAGATGTCCATGGGCGACGCCGATTGCTTACCATCAGGTGATCCGTCTGCTCATTTACTGGCTTATGCCATAAAAAAGGGAATCAAGTTGTGAAATTCCCCCGCACACTCACCGAAATGTATCCGGTTGAAAATCGAAAGGCTTGCAACCTTACGCCTGTGTTCGAGGCTTTGAAGCCGGGTCTCCACAAGCGCATGATCATTTATGAGCACGCCTCTTAATGTGCTCTAACGTGTCCAGCTGATATTTAGCCAAGCCGTCCCAAAGATGAGAGCAGTACTCCATACAGGACCGAACCTGTGCTTGTTTACTGCTGCATTGGAAGACGTATGCTCGTAGAACGGAAAGGATCTGGCATCAACGTTAATGTCGAGGACATCACTCCATTTCAGTTTACGACATTGGTTTCATGATGTTCTGTCAAAGTACCCAATAATTAGGGCCCCGAATAAACACGGACAAGACGAAAGTTATGTATAATGTCGGACATAGGAGGTGGAGGTTAACAGCCAAATCCAACTAGAATGAGAGGCGTTCGGGAAATTACGAAATGCAAAATCTTCTGTTTTCTCTTTCAACTTACCTGTGAATCTCAAAACGGAAGTCTACAATCATTGTGTGTTACCAGTGATGACTGACGGAAAAGAAACGTGCTTTAATCATGTGCTTTGTAAGGAACCTCAAATTCACTCAGCATGCTAAAACTAATACTTGAATAAGAAATAAGGAGATCCACAAAAGAGAGCCGCTAACATAACCCAGCGGATAAACTAGCTGATGTTACAGTGGGTGAGGTTCTGAGGGTTGTGAGGGTTAATGGGCCCCTCTTTAAGGTGTGGCTTGAATGACGCTACGGAGTCCTAACCTACCGCCTGACGCAGATGCTTACTGGACACAGAAGCTGGAGTCTAGTGGGGCTGATGCCCGATCCGGAGCCACATTAGACTTAATGGGTTGCCGGCAGGGCCGGATTTAGGGGTCCAGAGGCCTCGGGGCAACAAAGGAGTGGAGGCCCCCTTGCCCCAAATTATTTTCTAGATTGAGATCGAGGACGCTCGATTGATTTCGAGGACGCTCGATTGATTTCGAGGACGCTCGAAAACGATCGAGAACTCTAAATAGATTTCAAGGACGCTCGAAAACGATCGAGAGTCTCGATAGATTTCGAGGACGCTCGAAAACGATCGAGAACTCTCGATAGATTTTGAGGACGCTCGAAAACGATCGAGAGTCTCGATAGATTTCGAGGACGCTCGAAAACAATCGAGGACGCTCGAAAACGATCGAGGATGCTCGATAGATTTCGAGGACGCTCGACAGATTTCGAGTTTAAGAATTGAAGAATACCAAATTGTTCACATACTGCAATTAATTTTTTTAATGGTCGAGACACGGAATCGAATAGCCAACCTCCGAGGTTGCGGGCAAGTACCATCCCACTGAGCCATTGAGCCATTGGGGTACAAGATGGGTATTAAATTGGAAGTGCTTATCAGAGCCATTTCAGATTTTGATATTTCACTGATTGCCTGATTGGAGTGAACAAATATAGATCAATGATTTCTGTTTCTGTTAATATTTAAAATTAATATAATCAAATAATCATGTATGTATAAAGTACTTTAGGCTGTAGGTAAAGGTAAAAGCGAAAAAAAAATATCAAAGAAAAGATGTTTACTAGGTTTACTAGTTGAAATTTGAAAGATTTTTTTTTCCGAAGTCTCTATTGTGGAGGCCCCCTGCTTGTGGAGGCCCCGGGGCTTTCGCCCCGGTTGCCCCCCCTAAATCCGGCCCTGGTTGCCGGGACCCTGCCTCGAAGCAGGAACGTCGTGGTTTTTACCCTTTAAGAGTCCGATACTGCGTTCAGCTCTCCCAAGTCGAGAGATGTCATTGGATGATATGTCCCTTCAAAAAATGTGTTAATGGGGCATAATGAGGACTACATGCCGCCGAGCGTAGCATTTGATGTTCAACATCAAGTTAGACAGACAACCTATTCAGAATTAATAGACAGATGATATATATTGCAGGTTTGGGTAGGTACTCTTTCGGCTTTCGGCCTAATATATTAATATAATATGTCTCACAAAAGTTATAAGTTTGTTATCTGTTGGGTAGCTTTTGACTAGCTTTAGCTTTAGCTGGTAACACTGGTTCTGTCGCTGTCGTCGAATCGAATGAATGGCTGATTAGTGTCTGAATAGATATCGGGAAAAATTGTAAGGACTGACATATTTCATGCATTTCCTTGTCTGTAGACACAATTAAACCTAAATCCTTATCCTGTGTTTGGATTATTGTGCGTGTGTGTATTTAAAGGTGTTAAAATGACGGTGGAAGGTGATGAGAAAGCGGTTCGGTCTCGCGTGTTCATGGATATTTCAATAGGGGGCTTGCCATCCGGCCGTTTAGTATTTGAGTTATTCAATGATATTGCTCCGAAGACTGCTGAAAACTTCCGAGCATTATGTGCCGGAGATATGGGTGTTGGGAAGAACACTGGAAAGCCGTTGACGTACAAGGTTGGTCCAAGAAGGATTTATTTACTTTTCAGTGCTTGTAAGGTCTAGAGTTATTGATTTAGGTTTCATTAGCATTCCTATTGACCTATTTAGCTTCTAAGTTCCATTATCGATCGTAACATGACCTAATTTACCGACATTTGTACCTATGAGGTTAAGGTTTCTTTAGCTATTTGTGAAAATAAAAATGTAAAACTATTTTAGTAACTGGTAGCCATGGTCCTATTTAAACCAGGCTACTTATCACCCATGTTGTTGAGTATGAGAGCATGTTCACGTTTTCTCTATCAGTTCAAGTCTGTTTTGAGTTTTAAGTGACTTTCCTGCTTAATCTTTTAAGAAAATCAAATTGAACAAACTTTAAATCACTAACAAACTACATCTTACCAATCTTTGTAACTAATCTTTGAATACAAATTTAAGGTATATTACCTGTCAATTTCAGATGAAACTCTATAGTTACTCTTGTTTTCTTTTTCAGGGCATGGTTTTCCATAGGGTTGTGAAAGACTTCATGATCCAAGGAGGAGACTTCACCAATGCCAATGGGACTGGTGGTGAATCTATTTATGGTGGTACTTTTGAAGGTAAGGGTATGCATATGCCTAATTTATTAGCTTTAAAACAGTTTACTGTCTACAACTCAACTATTATGAGTAAAATGTCATGTTTATTAGTTGATAGAATGAATGTAAATATAATGGCTTTAAACATAGCTACTAGTTTTGCCTAGTAACAGGTAGTTATTATAAGTTTTTAATTAACTGGCACAAGCCTATTGACTTATGCCATTAACAATAGTTTATTAACTGGCAGATGGATCACCTGATGGTAAGCAATCTGCATCGCTAACATACAACCAGAACACGAGAGGTATGCTTTTAAAGTTTAGGAATTTGAATATTGTTGGGGATTCAGGATTAACCCCACTCACATGACGAAACACAACACAAGCATTGTTTTACCTTGGTTTTGTGGTATCACTCCACGGCCCATTCATTCCGAAGCATGGCTCGCCTACATTTTATATGATATGGTCATGAACACTAAACTAATACAGTAAAAGTATCATGTTATAACAATATTGATTGACTAGTAACCATACGAAGAAGTCAATTAAAATATAACTTAATTTTTCAGATGAAACCTTTGAATTGAAACATGACCGGCCATATTTACTGTCTATGGCAAACAGGGGCAAAGACACAAATGGTTCACAATTCTTTATGTAAGTTACCCGGAGATTGGTAAGAAATACAATCAATTTTATCTAAGACAGGAGACAGGTAATCTCACTATTTGAATAAAAGTTGGATAAATAACTATAACATACTCCAATCAGTCAAATTTATTCATTAGATTTTCGACTTTATGTCAATGCAATAAAGTTGAAGGTGTAATAGCGAAATTTGAAAGAAAAGGTTAGCTTGACCTGCTGGTCAGTGTACTATAATTATTTAAGTGGTTTGTTATAGTGATATTTTTTCCTGTAAATTCAATTTGAAATGTTTGTAAATAAATCACAAAGGTAATCAGGTAATCAAGTACCACTGTTCACACTTCTATCCTTTTTTTATTATTCGGAACTATTACTTTATTAAGTTGAAAATGTTAAATATCAAGCAGGTATAATATACCTAATACTACAATTACAAATATAGATATCTCTATGATCAAACTGTAATTAAACTAATATTAATGTTATAAAGAGATTCTCAAATAGGGGCCTGAAAATGCGACGAAATGGTTCCAGTATAGGATGATACAGCAGTGTTTGCTTCAAGTTCGACTTGGTTGAGGCACTGCCGTGGTCCCAGATATAAATAAATAAAATAATTACACCTTAAATCAATATAATAGAAATGTTAGCTTGAAACATCATCATTCTCGTCATCATTTAGTTGAAAACAGGGTAGGATGATGTAGAACGATTTTTTAAATAGTTCATTTTACTCTTATTATTAGTTCGTTGACAACCATTTCAAAAAAACCTTAGTTTAACATAACATAACATAACATCACGCCTTTTATCCCCGAAGGGGTAGGCAGAGGTGCACATTATACCACTGTATAAAGTAACACCCACTTTTCACTATTTATGTTATGAGTCCCATGTAATAGGGGGTGAGCCTATTGCCATATACCGGGCACAATTCCAGACTCCGTGCTACTACTGAGATTTTTTAAAACCCAGTAATACTTTGCCCGACCCGGGAATCGAACCCGAGACCCCTTGCCCGGCAGTCGCACTTGCGACCACTCGGCTAACGAGGCAGTCTTAGTTTAAGTACATAATAAATTTAAAATGCTGGTAAAGTGCGGGTCACTGAGAATTATTTAGCAAGGTTTCATGAAATTTTTGTCTAGTTTAATTCTTCATTTTAAATTAATACTTGTAAACTAAATTCATATTATATAACTCAACCATAAAGGTTTGTACAATATGCTTCAATTAGATACAGCATGTTTATCGAAAATGGAAACATAAAATCTATATATAAAGAAAATGACTTAAATCATATTTCGCCAATTTTCAACAACATAAATTTGAATGATGTCCGGTTTGATTAAAGTATAGTTGTGATATTATTTTGAATCACCCAACTGTAACTTGTAAGCAATGGCTAACTTCATAATTTTGGTCTATAATTTCTAGTTTAATTTGAATGATAAAACGATTTTCATAATACTTATGTCTAATAGTGTCTATTGCCCTCAGTATTTTCTTATTCTTACAGCTTCCTTGACTGTATTGGCTGAAAGTAGAAAGTAAAAATGTGCCCAATTTCTGTCTTGGGTTCTTTAATTTTGTTTTTGTATGCAGGTCAGCATGTACAGTTTTATATTTAGAATTTTTTCTACAATAATTAATGTATGAATCAAGCAACTAATACACAATGTTTTTCTCGTACAAAGCCACTAGTATAGTGTGTACCATATTGTTATGAATGTGTTGTGTATGCGTTGTGTAGAGGTCGCTGCCGGCGGCCGCGGCGCCCGCGCAGTCCCCCGCTATCATTGTTTGTGTTCTGTGTGTTGTAGAACCACACAGCCGGCGCCGCATCTCGACAAGTGAGTAATGTTTTGTAACATTGATTTTTGTAGTTTAAGGATTTTTGAGATTTAGATTTCAACTTGAGGACTTAGGTCTTATGTTTAATTGCTAGTCGGGTTCAAATCCCTCAGTATAGTTCAGTATTTCATTTATTCAGCAACAAGTAATAGTACCAATTCATATTTGGGCGCGCTATAGAAAGATAATCGTGCAAATCTACTTGACTAGTTTCCGTCGATTGAAACCGAAATCGGCTAGTAGACCATGCCATGCGGCAGTGACATTAGTCGGCAATACTAGATACTTAAGACTAGCGTGGCTTAAAACTTGTCGAATTACTTTGTCAAACAGTCTCGTAAGTAAGCAGTGAATGAGCAGTTGTGTTTGCATTGTCTGCAGTGTGCACGTAGTGTTCGGTACGGTAATCGGCGGCGCGGCGCTGGTGCGTCAGCTGGAGGCGCTGGCGGTGGACCGCAACGCGCGCCCGCTGCAGGACGTCGCCGTCACCAACTGCGGACAACTCGTCAGGGTCAGCGGTCAGTATACACTAACCTTACCTCACTATACAATTTTTTTTTGATGGACCGACGTTTTACCACCTCCTCGCCTGGTGGTAAGCGATGATGTGGTCTACGTCTTATATTGCAAGTTTGAAGGCCTTATTTTGCTATTGGTACATATTTAGACAAAATGATTGATTTGTTGGTCGAGTTGTTGCAAGTCGGGACTCTGCATTTCTAAGCCAAAAAATCTCATTAGTAGCATAGATTACGAAAGTGCTCAGTGAGCAAAGTTTTTATGAGGCAGCGTATTGATGATGGTGCACTAAGCACCAGATAAATTATAATTTCATGAAATATTAAATGTTTTAAATATTGCCTTGGTTCTCATACAGCAAAGAAACGTAAACAAGAAAAGGAAGAGAAAGAGGAGAGCGATGCTGATGCTGACTCTGACCACTCCCAGAAGAAAGACAAGAAGAAGAAGAAGGACAAGAAGGAAAAGAAGAAGAAGAGGTATGTAGATTACTAGATAGTAGAGTTAATCATTAAATAATTTGAAAACTTTTTAACATTGTCTCACACTGGGGAATCAAACCCTTGATATGTTGCACAGTGCACAGCAGTCAGTTGCCCAGCCACTACGTCAATCGTATAGTCAAACATGTATTGTCTATACTTTACTTAGTTTTTAAAATAATATTATTTCATTTACTGTCTTATCTTACTTGTCATTGTAAACAAATTTACTTTACAATTTTTATAGATAGTTCATAAATGTATATACATATCTGTATTTGTACAGTGTACAATGATTGTATAACAATTGATTCAACCTTTTGTCGACGCTTCAATCTCTAACTCAACCGATTGTGTTCACATCTGCGATGAATGAGAAATGAGATGCACAATCAGCGATGCATACATGACCATTATGATGTTACGTTTAACCGACTTCTCAAAAAGAAGGAGGTTCTCAATTCATTTGGAATCTAATGCAAATTATTTTTCTCTTACTAATATTATGAATGTGAAAGTTAGTGATTTTGTGTGGATGTCAATCAATCACGTCAATATGGCTAAAATCTAAATGAAAAGGTAGATTATAGTTTTGAACACACAGGCTACTTTTTCTCCCACGGGAACGCTGACAGAGTCACTGGCAGAAGCTAGTCATTGTAAAAATCACACTTCCCAAAAAGACGTCATCATTTTCATTTATATTTAACAAATCACAATTATTTAATTCCTTCATCAGCAAGCGTCACTCCAGCGAATCAGGTGATGAGGAAGAGACTCCTGAGGCCCCTGCTCATCCCTTAGTATCCACCTCCAAGATAGACCCGCGGGAGATACCCGATGTTCCTACCAACAGGTTCCTCATGAGAGGGGGGAGGGATCAGGATGACAGGAGTGATCCTAGGAGGGATCGAGAGAGGTAATGTCATTGAAGGGTTTGGAGTGCAATAATGAAAGATTGTGCTAGTTTGGTCACTTTTTTTGCTTTCCACCTGGTGAGATAGTTAACACTGACTAAGAAATTATAGTCAAAATTAAACGAGCAGACGGATCACCTGATGGTAAGCAATTGGCGTCGCCTATGCACACCTGGAACACCACTGGCATTATTACAAGTGCAATTGAAAATTTGAGGATTGTGGGGGATTCGGAGATTGGGGAGAATGGGGAGGGGGGTTGTTGGGCCTCCGGCAACCTAACTTACATGACAAAATACAATGCAAGAGTTGTTTCACGTCGGTTTTCTGCTCGGCCGTGGTAAAACTCGGGTCGAACCTGCCAATCTATGCCGAAGCATGGCTTTCCCACCCTTTGATTTCGATGCCCTATATGACGGTTATGTTCAGCTGTAGTCAATTTAACTTTTTGATAGAACAGTATTACTGGTGAAGAGGCTTAATTTGAAGTATTTTTTCACAGTTTCTATGAATTTCAAATGTAAGTTGTAAGCTTTTCTTTTTTATGTATTTTACTTAACATTAAAATACTAAACTTGCGACAAGAGTCTGTAAAATGTAGAATCGGGTTCTATTAGCTCAACAGCTTGCCAGCGTCAGAAACGAAATAAAAAAGAAATTTAACAATCCCACTAAAGTACATAGGTACCACAAAATCAGTACAGGTGTTTAAAGTTCAATGACCTACACACAGGTTTCTTTTTGTCATTATGAATGTCTTATCTAGTGTAGGAGTGAATAATGCTTTGTCTCGTAGGATGAGGTACCGCGAGAGGGAGCATCGGTCCTACACGCGCAGCGGGAGGATTATCAAAGGCCGGGGAGTGTTTGTAAGTTGATTTTATATTTATTTATTACGATTTTAAAGTTTTTAGTATTTCAATGAAACCATAATTTGGTACTTTTGAAACGTCAACAAATATAAAATAAATAACAGTCCGTCAGTCAGTCCGTCAGTGAAGCTAGGCGCTCGTTCCAAACGTAGATTCGAATGGAGAAGAAATAACATTGCCGATTATTTTCAAACGGCTATTATATAAATTCATATTCAATCTCAATTTAAGTCTTAGGATTAAGGTCGATTTTTAACCGACTTCAAAAAGAAAAAAATCAGGTTCTCCATTTGACCTGTATGAATATATGTATGCGATATTATCTTCCGATTAGCTGAATCGATTTTAATGTGGTTTTCGGAAAAGTTTTCGTTACACATATCAGAAGGTTTTAGTATAATAATTAACGAATTTCAACAAAAAGAGGAGGAATAGACTCGGTTTATTTAAACGTAGTTCATGAAATAATTATTGTCATCAGTTGTATGGAGTTTCCATGCAGAGGTTTTGTATTACGGTCGGTTATTCATTTTAACATATAAATCTGAATGATAATACAATCATATATTTTCCAGCGTTACCGCACCCCGTCTCGGTCCCGGTCCCGCTCCCGCTCCGTCACTCCGCCGCACTGGAGGCAGGCGCAGCGACGTATCATCAAACTGTCTGAGTTTGAGGTAGTAAGTCCAATAGTTACATTTTATTGACTAAGTGAAACAAGTGAATTTATTTCTGCAAATAGGCTATAAGGCAGCACTTTTATACGTCAATTTTATCAAGCGAACGATGAGGTCGACATTTCCTAACTGATTTTCCTAACTAATATTTATTATTACGTAGATATAGACGCTAACACACAAGCTGTGTTAGATTTTCAAATTTATTACAAACCAATTAAGTTCAATATAAATATACATATTTTATGTAATACAAAAAGGTGAGAGAATAATATCATCGGTATTGCTGTATTATTCTTTTTTAAAAAGATCGTCGATTCTCAGGTGTCAGAAATTCTAAATAACTGTAATGTACTTTTAATTGATCCCATTTTTCCACTGCACACCCACCTGTGTTACGTAGACAATAAGGTTCACTTTAAACTTGACATTGACACACACAATGTATTCCAGCGAGCTGAGCAAGAGAGGTCGGAGAAGGAACAACACGATGTCACCAAGAGGAAAGAAATTGAGAAAATACACAGCCGTAAGTTTTAAACACATCCAAACTAAAATACTGAACAAAATATTACACTTTAACTAACTGTACACTGTCCCTACCAATTGTTTTATACATATTAACACCTAAATCTAGAAAAACCACCAAACATGTTTGTTGCTTGCAATTAATCTAACTCATAATATAATAAAACGAACCTTTGAGACGCTTAAATTTATGCAGTGTTTTTTTATTCTAACTCATTGCCTCCCATAAGGTACATAAGTCCAAATACTCAAACGCCACTCAATTTTAACTTGCGCTTATACTGTCAAACACCGCGAGGACACCGGTACCGCAACCTATTGTTCTTTAATTGTGTCTATAATGACGGTACTCAAAGAGTTAAGTATAGTCACTACAAACTCTTTGTAAAATGACAGAAAAGCCACGATATTTAACCTTTTGAATGCACCGATATGAGACAGTAGAAAATACATTGTGTCACGCGTGGACACGTCTTAGAAAGGTTAAGTACAACATAAATAAAATTGATTAGCCTTTCAATATTCGGCCGTTACTCCTTTAGACAAATTACACTACTAATTACAGACGATCTAAAGTTCACAATCTGTCTATACTCTAAAGACATCACTTCTCTAAAATCATAGAAAAGTGGTTCCCTTTCTAGGCGACGCTGAGGGAACCACCCCGGACAATCATCCCGAAGAGAAAGAGGAGGGGGAGTGTGATTCTACTCTGGGTTAGTATGACGTGACAGGTAAAGCAGACCTATTGCCCTTTTCCGTGTGAGAAGAGGTCTTTTCTCAGCAGGGGGCAATTAAAGTTGTTGTTTATTGGCGGGAATTGGAGACACCCAGGTTGTTAACTGTTTACTGGCGAGTGCTGAACATCAGCGTCATGGACTCGTATCTTTATGACCAGCACACAGCATTCAGCTAAGCAATTTATTTTTTTGTTGTTTATTGTTTTAAGTATATTTTGTTGATAACAGCGTAAATAAACGGATTTCTTAATTTCTGACATCATTGTAGCTTGAGATGTTAGGGTTCTCAACAATGCGCCACTTGCATCCAATGGCTTCTCGCAACTCTGATGATCTCGTCGGTCAACATAGTTGAAGACCTGATGGAATCAGAATAAAATATACGAAGAAGTCTGTTAAATATGCGATTAGACGCACGATTCTTAATCGCATCAGTAAAATACAAGAACTTGCCTATAAAAAAATGGCTGTGTATTGTATGCAACTTTATGTATATTGGTTTTAAATAATTTTTGTATAAATAAAGGATTACATGCTAAAGAGTATTAAAACATGTTAACTTTAGCATTGTGTACCATTATTGCGTTTCATGTATCCTAAGAAGCGTCCTGTTGATATAGCGTACGTTACTTTTAAAGTAATATTTGTGTAAATCCTTTCCAAAAATACTTTTTATTATTTTCAGATCGTTCTCAAACAGACAGGGTGGATTACAATGCTTTGGACTTTGAAGAGGACATTGAACATGATGGTAAATGTTTTAAAGTATTCATGATGCATGAAATGTTAAAAAAAAACCGTTAATAATGATGATGGAATATGCTGTATGTATTTGAAATCAGTTGCCCCCTCCCCAGTCTCCTCAATCCCCCAATCCTCCAATCCCCCAATCCTCCAATCCCCCCAATCCCCCTCATCCCCCAATCCCCCAATCCTCCAATCCTCCAATCCCCCAACCTCTCAAAAGGCCGGCAATGCACTTGTAACTCCTCTGATGTTACCATTGTCAATAGGCGGCGCTGATTATTAGGTACGAGTTTGTTCTACGTTTCACGAGATCAAAACGAGACCGCGATCGACACTCTGATTGGTTGGTTTCTTGAAGCCAGCCAATCAGCGCGCCGAACACGGTGTCGGAAAGCCATCTGTGATCAGTCCGCGCGTTTGCCGGCTTATCCTATAAAATATTATATGCACCTTTTCATTTGAGTGAAGTATTATATTTATTATATTATAAAAAATAGCACTTTTATTTCATAGTATTATATTTTTTTATGTTTCAATAGCATTATGTATCATTCATATCATTATGTTTATTTTTGTGTCAATATTTGCTATCTATGTATGTCTACTGACTTGGTGGTAGATTATATATTTTTTAATGAATTGTTTTTTTTTCTTTCAGCCCATGTAAAAAGTAAAATAAATTGGCTGCATTATTTTATTTTGTTTTAATTTTATTTATACCTAATGACGTGTAATATTTTATTCATGTATTAATACTTTATCAATTTACTTTTTTTCAATAGATAATGATACGTCTCACAAACGCAAACCAGTTGAGAAAGTAGATCGTCGTCGTGAAATGCGTCGCACCCCTGAGAACAGAGCTGAAATGTTGGCACTGGCGTTAGGTGTCAACCCTAAACATGATCAACAAAGGTATGTATGAGTAAACATTGTGAATTTAGTTCTTATGTTTATGAAATAAAGTTACTTTTAAGTTTGTGGTTTTCTTTTTTTGCCCTTATTTTGTTTTTTTTATATACATACATTTATTATCTCTCGATTAGCTAAACCGATTTTGATGCGGTTTTCAGAAAAATGTTTATTATGCTTTAGAGAATGTTCTAGTATATTAAACTGTCAAACACCAAGCGGTCACCGGTGACCGCAACCTATTGTTCTTTAATTGTGTCTATTATGACGGTATTAAATGAGTTAATTAACCGACTTGAAACAAGTAATGGAGGGGGGGGGGGGGGAATTCCTCTTATTTAATACTCGTATTTTCTATACAGTAGTCTCACAATGAAAGTAATTTAACACTTATTTTGGGAACGACCCTTACGTATTTTTATTATTATCACTTTACATATGTGATGCTTTTTAGTACCATTATCATATTTTCACCTCTATAATTCTTAAACTCATTCTCCACCTTCCAGTGACGCAGGTTCCTTCAGCAGGGACTCAAGAGACAGTCGAGAGTCCACTCGACGTCGCGAAGGTCTGGCCTCCACTGTAGGATACGCCTCCAAGTTATCTTCAGCAGTCGGCAATGTCTCTGAAGGGTTGGCTAAAGGCCACCATGAAGAGAAGAGCAAGGATGGTTATGATCCCTTCAGTTTGCTCAGGAGTACCTTCAATAGAGGAGGGGAGAAGAAGGATCAGAACCAACAGAGGTAAGTGGACGTTTGCGATGATGATGCTTGAATGAGGTGATTTTGATTAGAGATGGTTTTCATATGAATTACTGGTTTATTATTTAGACACCACTGACAAACGGTGAAGGAAAAACATCGTGAGGAAACCTGGACTTATAATTTCTAATTATAAGTTTGAAATCGCCAACCCGCATTGAGCAAGCGTGGTGATTAATGCTCTAACCTTCTCCGTGTGAGAAGAGGCTTTGATCAGCAGTGGGCATTTATAGGCTGTTGATGATGATGACTGGTTTATTTATTTAGTAAAAGAATTTTATTCATGTGATGTCATGATTTGTTGAACAAGTGTAACTTAATAAACGGTACCGTAATTTCATTCTTACATTTGATTTTTTCGTTTTTGTATGTATCTGTAATAGCACTAGAGTGTATTGTTCAATCTGGTATTTGCTATATTCGATTTGGTAGGTTTAAGACGACAAATTATGACTGCTATTTTGAAACTTATTTATCTTTTACCCTCCAGAAAAGAAGGAGATCGCCGTGAAGCGATAAAAGCTCGTCTAGGTGAGAAAGAGAAAGACAGAGAAGACAAACGCGACCGTAAGACTGACAGAGACGAAAAGGACCGCAAACAATCAGAACAGAAGAACGACAAAGAAGATAGAAATCGTAGACACGACAATAAAGAAGAAAGAACTCGGAAGCTCCCCGAAATACCCGAGAAAGAAGATAGAGCGAGGAAAAATTCGGAAAAAGAAGATAGAGAAAGAAAAATATCGGAAAGAGATGATAGAAGGAGACATTCAGAGAAGAATGAGAAAGAAGATAGAACTAGAAAGCATAGTGAGAGGGATGAAAGGGATCGTAAACATTCTGAACAGAGGGACCACAGGAGGACCGACCGCCATAGGAGTGAAAGGTCTGAGCGTCGGGAGAAGAGTAAGGAAAGAGTAAGAAGTGAGAAGAGTAGAGATAATGACAGGAGTAAGGCCAGGGATGATGATAAGGATAAGAAGAGGAGACGGTCCCGTACTCCTTCGCCGGCTAAAGAGAGGTAATATATGCATACATACTGAATGTCCTTTTTTAAACTTATACTGTTGTAACTGTAATGATGATTGCTGTAATTCTTGGTGATTTTAGTGTACTTTTTTATCTTTGTTTTTTTTTATTAATGTCTCTTTTAAAAGCTACTTTATTATCCTAGTTAGACATCAACATCAAAAGTATTACATTTTTTAAATGGTTGTAAATTCAACTTTATCTTCTATAACTTAAAGTCGTTTTTGCAGGTCAAAATCTCGTGACCGTAGGCCCTCAGCAGCTGAGACCCGCGAGAAGAGTGGGGAGCGAACTCCACTGGACGAGGAGAAGAAAAAGGTGGGTGTAAGTACTCACACACAGTTGGAAACTGGGTTTTATTTATTCTACTCTGAAATTAACCTTATTTCTTAAGCTATAAAGATATGTATCACTGATTTTTGTGAATGTATACGGTATATGGTAATAAGCTCACTCCCTATTACAAGGGACTCATAACATAAATAGTGAAAAATGGGTTTTACATTGTAGTGGCATTAAGTACCGTAATGCGGACCTCTGCCTACTCGTTCGGGGATAAAAAGGCGTGATGTTATGTTTTGTGAATGATATTACTATTATTAATGGTACATCATCTTTGGTTTGTTTCTTGATTTAGGCAGTGTTATTGGTATTGAGTTATTTATGGCACTCTCAGTAATACATTTGGGAGCAACGAAACGTCACTAGCGTTTTTTTTTAATTTTATCGAACCTTCTATAGTTAACTTTAAAAAACATATTCTAAAAATGCTCTCATGTTAAAGGTAACTAAATTGCCTTTACGACACGACATACGTCACAAATTATTAAAGTACTTGTATCAGAAAATATATATCAATAAATTATTATGTTTTCGGCTTACTTACGTAATAATTTGAATAACGCGGCGTTTATTATTACTAATAATAATGTCACGCTGCTACAGTCGCCGCGTCGCGGGTCGCGAAATGCTGCTCATGAATATGAGCCTCTAGCATGGCTTGAAACTAGTCGAGTTCCTCGTCAAATTATTACGTGAGTAAGCTGAAAACATAATAATTTATTTGGTATGTCTCACGAAAGTTACAATACAAATATATGTCAAGGAATGAAAAAGGATAAACGCTTATTATAGCGAATTCGCTCCCTATTGCATTGGATTCACAACAGAAATGACAGAAAGACATATTTGTACATTTAACTGAAAAGTATAGTTACGTAATATATTATTTGTTTGTTTATTTAGCAAGAAGACGAGAGGAACGAAGCTCGCAAGGAGTTAATGGAGATAGTTCGTCTCATCAAGTCCAGACAACGGGACCGAGAGAATAAAGCTGCTGGTAAGGAATATATTTTATAGTCTGTGTAATAAGGTTCAGTTTAGATTAACTTCCTGAGTTTTCATTATTTATTAGTTCGTGGAAATAGAGTTTAAAATAGGCTAGGATTCTAACTTTTATTTTAATGTCCGTCTGATAGATTAAAAACATTAAACCAGTATTTTTTCATTTCTTACAAAATTGAATAGTTTCGACAATATATTGATTTGAAATATCATGTGACGTCACGATTTACTATATTTTATAGGGTAGCGTGGCGTAACGACCTCCCACTTCTAAAATTAACTTCGTTTTATCTAAGTATTGTTTTCTTATACAACAAAATAAAAAGATATGTCTAATATTTTTTCATTATTTAACTGCCTGAGTAATTACATTTTTTATTTTCATACACTGGGATGTTATGTTTCAATTTGCGTGCCCTTTAGAAGTATTTAAGTATCGAAGTAGGGGGTAAATTTTCTTCCTAGTTCTTTGGACTGACTTTGAGAGTGAAAATAGTGGCCTAGAATAGTTTTCTTACGCAAACGATATTTGTTTAATACTTTGTGTTGAATGTTGAAACTAATTGTAATTATTATGTAGATTTTAATTAATAAAAGTTCTAAAAAGCTTTATTATATTCTAGCGGTCCTAGCAAAGAAGAAGCGAGAATCTTCTCACTCGGATAGTTCAGACTCCGATGGTGACAAGAGAAGGCGCCGTTCTTCTGATAGAGATCGAAGGAGAAGGAGTAATTCTAGGTTAGTAACTGATATAGGAATTTGTAAGATATAGCCTATCGATTGTCAGCGAATCGAAATGTCGGCTTATCGCATTAGTTAAATATATTCAATCGATTTTGAACTTGCATGCCTTTGTCGCAAGGTTGAAAGTTTATTGAATTAAAGTGATTTGAATTTGATTGCAATGTTTTACAGATAAATCATAATTTGAATTGTTGCGTAATCTGCTTAACCCGTCGAGCGTCCGCGTTCCTTATGATCCAACGGGTGCACACGTGACATTTGGAGCATTTTTTCTTATGATCCACCGGGTGTTCATAAGGACGCTCGAGGGGTTAATTACTAAGTTTCTATAAACTTAATTGCTGCTGTAATTAGATGTCGTTTTTATTTCAAACAAGGTATCGTCTGTGCTGTCTAATTATATCCCAAAAATTAAACAAAATCTTGCGTGTATGTCATAAACTCAACAATACTTTTCATTCTTAAGTGCCAATTTCAAACCCTTATTTTACCACAGGGGTCGCCACTCGAGTTCCGAGCGTCGCACGCGCCGCCGTCGCTCGCGCAGTCCGCGCCGCGACCGACGCGACCGTAGACGATCCTCGTCCTCGCGCTAAACACACGTGTCTTATATTATATTATACTAGACTTTTAATTAATTATAAATGTACTACTTTACTTTAGAAAACAAATAAACAAAGTGTTTTTTGTATTTTATTAGGACCGGTTTTTATCAGCGTTTTGACACCCAAATACGGAGAGTAAGTAAAAAGATATTGTTAAATTCAGCGTAGTATTTATTTTCTGTACTCTGCTATGAACCAAATGCCCTTTAGCGCTTGTCCATCGAGAGAGGAGAAAAATAAATCAATGAGATGTCGCAAATTTTGACATTTCTCAGTGACATTCACATTGTGTTTTCTACTCTCGCAGTAGACAAGTGCTTAACGGCATTTGGCTTGTAGAAATGTTGGTTTTATTATAATAGTAAAGTTCAAAGTCTTGTACTGTCTGTATCTGCAAAAAAAAATACTACTGTCTCTTTTTTATTTGCCATCTCAATTCGATTTTTTCTAAATATCTTGTGTTGTATCTACTCTGTAGTGTTTTTCAAACAAGTCATAAGAACGTTCACTATTTGATAGCTACAGTTACTAGACGAACAGGATCGTTAGCGATACCAGCGCCATCTAGGATGCTCAAAAACGATAGTCCTTGTGTCATTATTATACTTTGTTTTAGTTATCTCTAAGTCTTAGTTATGTTCTGTTTTCAGTACTTTTAAGTGCAGTTACTGATTTTATCCCGGACATTTGTTTTTGGTTTATTTTATACTTCATGTCTATAAAAACTTAAATACCTATGTGCTTTATGCATGAGTATATTTTGTGATATACCATTTATGTATATTTATGCCGATCTAACATAGTATTGTTCGAATAATATACAGATACTAAATCACAGTGTAAAAATTGTGTGACATATTTTTTTATCAATGAATATGACACTTTGGTTAATTAATTTTTTATTTACTTCTTTCCAACGGAATAAAATAATACTTCAAAGTATGGTTATATTGTGACATTTGGTGGGTCTTCAAAATAACTACTAACGTTATAATATTTTCTTTTGTTCAAATGTTACATTTAGGTGAAGTTCCCTGTTCACGTCCAATCATCAGAGTGCCAAGCACGAATAACTATCGCATTCGTATCATCACAGTATCGACCGAGTTAAGCGTTCTGATTGGTTGGTTCACTTGAGCCGGCCAATCAGAGCGCCGAACTCGCTCGATACTATTACGTTACGAATGCGATAGTTATACGTGCTTGGCACTCAGTACGCGTCCATGTTACGGAAAGCCGTTCAAAAATTCCCGATAGTAAGAAAACTATCACCATAATTTCACGTTTTAAGTATCTTACGTTTTTGGCAATCCGTAAAATGGACGTGAACTGGTGGGTGGACGCGAACAGGCAAACTTATCCTATATGATTCCTTACTTTACTGTGCTGTATACTTAAATTTTGCCATTATTTATATATTATGCGTAAAAATCCCACGGAATGAGAACCTCCTTATGTTTTTAAGTCGGTTGAACTAGGAATTTGCATATTTATATTTTCACAGTAGATTTTCAATGTCTACAAGTAAACTGTTTAAGTAAGACCTAGTTGTTTCAAATTATTTTGTATGACAAGTGTGCTATTATGTAATTAAATGAAGTTTTAAGTTGAAAATAATCTTTTATTTATTTATTTAGACATCTTTCACCCTGTAATTCGGTAGTTGCACGTGCGACCATCTCCAAGAAGCAATTTTTTTTAGATTTTCTGACCAATACAATATCCAGTATTATTGTAAACGAGCTGTTGCCCGCGACTTCATCTGTGTAGAATATTATTCCTGTTTTCTCCTATGGGAGCGTTTAATCGGGATAACAAGTATCCTATCACCTAAGTCAGCCCAACCCTGTCTGTATACCAAATGAAACCGTTCAGTAGTTTCAGCGTGATTGACGGACAAACATAACAAAGAAACTTTTGGAAGTAATATATTTTTTTTTTTAAATTAGAGTTTCGTATAAATATTGCATAGGTTCTGCCCGCGACGTCGTACGTGCAATCCCGTTGTCTCCCGTTCCCGTGGGCTTTTCAGGATTTTTTCTGTCGTTAACAACTTTCTCCTAATTAACAAATATAACAAACAGCAAAATTGGTCTAGCCAGCCATTCACGCGTGACCAAGGGAAAAAGGGATTCATTTTCATATAGGTATATTATAGATCTTATAAAATGTACTTAATCACCTGCTACCATTTCTGCACTACTCAAAGGTTGACTGGGAAACAATGCCTAAGGCAGTTGACGTTTCAAAAGTACCAAATTATGGATTAATTGAAATAAATGCTTTTCAGTTTGAGTTTGAAAATTAAGTTCACCTGTACATACTTGTTTTAAGTTGAAATAAATAAATAGCAACTTCATCTAACGAAAGATTCATTGCCAATTCAGGCACCGATCAAAAGCAGGACACTTGAACGTAACGTGGCATGTTACCACAGCTGCGAATGACCCAGCAGGTTACTGATTCTGCTCCTGTTTGAACCAGAAGTAGGAACGGGGTAATTTCTAGTCAGTAAGAGTCTGGTGTCGTTCGACGTGGAGGACTAAGGGGGAGGCCTTTGTCCAGCAGTGGACGTCTTCCGGCTGTTGATGATGATGATGATGAAGAGTCTGACGGCAGATGTCTTTGGATAATTTCCTCAGATAAAAATGAGATGTGGACTAGCCTAACCTTGCCACGTAGACGTGCAACGTACAAATGGACGACCCCAAACTAAAAACAAATAGAAATGTTGCGGAATTTAATTCCCCATACAAATGATTAACATTGTTTAACCATGGTTTTACAGATACTAAAGATGATGTTACGATGTTTAAAAATTATTATTTATCGAGTACCTAACAATTAATTTTATTTAGGTATCACTCGTTTATTATATAAGAAATACCTAAATTAAAGAATTGCTAAACCCCTAGCAGCTAATCGCATAGTTAAGTTTCGAAATACTATTTATTTATTTTCCTACGTAAAAAAATCGGATAAGCTATTTTTACCATACTTTTTTTTATGGCATAAGTCGGTAAACGAGCAGACGGAACACCCGATGGTAAGCAATCGGCGTAGCCCATGGACACCTGGAACACCAGAGGCGTTACAAGTGCGTTACCGGCTTTTTGGGGATTAGGAGTTTGAGGATCGTTGGGGATTCAGGGATTGGGGAGATTGGGGAAGGGGAGGGTAATTGGGCCTCCGGTAACCTCACTCACACGACGAACCACTACGCAAGCGTTGTGTCACGTCGGTTTTCTGTGAAGCCGTGGTATCACTCCGGTCGAGCCGGCCTACTCATGCCAAAGCATGGCTCTCCCACACTTACAATACTTACACTTATTTACTTTATTTCCCGGAACTCTTAATTACACTCATTCAGGATCTAATAATTCTTTAAAACGCTACGTTTTACTACGTTACCACTCTGTTATTGAGACTCATTGCCTAGCAGTGGTCTATCTTGGGTTAACGATGTGAAGTGAATAGAACTGTCTCGTAGGCACTAAAGTAACATTTGGCGCGCAATAATAATATTGCCACGCGTTGCACTAGGTCGTGAAGAAAGTCGTAAACTTGTAGACGATGATGGCTGGTGTCGCGGGTTTGATTCTCGCACTCCTAGCTTTAGGGGCAGTTGGACCCATTGACTCTAATTGGAGAAAATCCCTGTACTTATTGGAAAAGAAAGTATTTAAGGTGTAGAGGATTGTAAAGGTTTTTCTTTTCTACATTTATAAAAAAACTTTTTAGGGGCGAAAATCATCGAATGGCTTCTTCCGCCTAGGTGAGGCGGGAGGGAGTGTCAGACTCTTACTGACTAAAAACCACCCCGTTCCTATTGCTGCCCTTCGAGCCGGAACCCCGGCATCCCGTTCTTCACGGCTCCGTATCGGCATCAGTCCTATTGGGCCCAATCCGTAGTGGTTTTTAGATAACCTACGATTAAATTAAAATAGGCATTGTTTCATTTTAGTGGCGTTGTTAGGCTCTAACTTTTGACCTTTGTAGGCTCTATTTCGAGACGACCGGAAGGACAAAAATCTTTATAAGTAGGCAGGTAATAATGGATAACATTAACAATAAACGTTTTTATTCTTATTCTTCTTTTATTATGTTTTGTTTTAATATTTTGCTATACTTATGTATAATTGGATAATCGAATAATTTACAAAAAAAAAAAACAAAATTCGTCGACTTCATTCAAATGTTGTTTTCTTAAAAAAGCATTTTATCTTTAAAAAGTATCTTAAAGATACCTATCTTGTATCTAGTATTTTAGATACCTACCAATGTCAATAGTATTTTGTATCTGATATCTGAAATACTTAATTTAAAAGTATCATGTATTTTGTATTTGTTTTGCATTATTGGGTTTGTTGTATATAAATTTCAATATTATGGTTCTCACAAATGCAATTTCCGTAAACGTGGATGTTGTCAATAATAAATTAAACTATAATCAGTCTGTTGCGATGGTGTCAACTATATTTTTCTTGAGCAAGTCTGATTTAATGCTAGGATAATATATTATTTATAGTGGCGGCCAGAAATTATTAAAAAAGAATTAGGTAATGCGTAGTGGTTTGACATTTAGATAAAAGTTTAGTTTTTCCTTATGTGTGGATTATTAATTTAAATAGGTGATTTAAACTCTTATTAAATGATTTGTTGTGGGGTCGTCTACCTTGTGGTGCAGTGTAATCGACTTCTTCTTCCAAAAGGTACCACAAAGATTTTATAGACCTTAAAAATAATCTTAGAAAGTACACATATAAATTAGAAAAAGTCACATTGGTACTTGCCGTTGGTGGGTTTGGAACCCACACCCTCTCGCATGAGAAGAGAAGCGGATGTCTTAACCTCGGGCTACCACGAGCCACGACCTTACGAATATTTATTGCAATATATACCTCTATTATGTAAGTAAGAACGATGACCATCAGTAGGACGTACTAAGTACTGAATTACTGAGGTAGGTACCTACTTACATTTATTCTGTAGGCCATAAAACTTAATAAATTTATCTGTATCAGCACTTGTTCAATTCTATAACTCCATTATTATAATCAGCTGGGGCTAACTGGTACAAAGGGGTCGGTCGCCCCCCGCGTTAGGGGAACTCCCGGAATTAAGGCTCCCCCATCCGATAATTGCCGTGACCTTCAATTTTCCGTATCAGGTTGCATTTTTCTAATTCAAGGTCAGATCCACAAGGGGTCTGTCAGATACGGTGTAGATTAGGTGCTGTTGTGTATTAGTAAATCGATCAGTTACGCTTACGCTGGTAGTTAAAAAAAGATAACTAACTAAATTACTGCTGGTTTAAAAACACAATACTGAATGTGGGTTCAAGTTAAATCAATAAAGTTATAAATACACTGTCTGTTACACTCCGTGCATTTATGCGGAATTGTCTACTAAAGACGTCTAGGTTCTATTTACTTTACATTTTAATTAACCATTCAACTACTAAACTGCCTTGGCATTCTCGTCGAATTCGCGGCAAACATTTCCTGTCCTCTATATATGTTTCAGTAGGTACTTACCTATATTAAGCGATATATTATTCTAATAAATAATATTTTCCAATGACGCAACGTGTAGTCAGCGTGCACCGATGGCATTGATCCGTCGATGATGTCATAGTGCACTGTAACTAACCTAACCTAACTTATAATGTTGACACCGCAGTTCTCGCGGGCTCGGCTCGGCTCCGTCCTCCGCCAATACACATTATGCCTGCATTATGATTATACACTCCGTGACACTCTTACATATTAATTCAACTACCTATCTAACAACATTTTACGATCACAAACACGTCATAACTAAGTTACAATATTTAAGTATTCTCTCAACAACATTCTTAAACTTCACAAAGTTTACAGCGATGCTTTCAGTTCCGCTGACGTGCCGCGTCATACAACGCGCGCGGGGTAGGCGTGGGGTAGCGAGCGCCGCGCGCACGCCCGCCGATGTACCTCGTGACATAGTTTAGATGCAGCGCGCGTGCTTCAAAGCGGAAGTATAATGCCATTATCGATTTGCTTATAACAGAAAATGCGTTGAATGGACAAGGCTCTGGCGGGGCCGGGGGTGCGGGGCGGGGCGCGGTGCCGCGGGCGTGCGGAGCGGAGCGTCAGTGCGCCGGAGGCAGCGGGCTGCGCCGTACGTGTCCACGCAGCCCGCTAATCGAAAAATTCCGAGTGTTGTGCAAATGCTTGTGTTTTTATGGCGGTCACATTACTACGAGTGTTGGTGCTGGGTGTGATCGCGGCGGCTGCCGACGGTTTGTTATTTATCTGTGTCGATTGTGATGGTTGTTGTAGCGTCCACGTGTTTTCGGCCGGGAGCGAGCCGCTGTTTACGGCGCGGCTGGCGCATGCGCTCGGCTTGTTTGCGTCGCCTACGGCGGGTCAAACACCGGCCTAACTTACAGCCTACTCGTACCTACATGTTTTTGGTCCGTCAAGTAAGTCTAGATATAGATCTCGAGATGTGGCCACCGATAAACAGGCAAGCCAAGGTAATCGATACAACTTGTTTTCTCACGATATCATACTTGTTTTAGCGAATATCGTCCGAGTTTACTGTTACTCCAATGTATTATGATAGTTTAGGCATCCTTCACGCCACTACAACCTCCAGGAGTGCGTCTCACTTTAGAATCCATTCACTTTTATTGTTATTGAGAGTTTCCGAGCACCTCGGTGTGATGTTTACAAAAGAACAATAGTAAATAGTAACTTAATACTTATTGCTGCGTGCCCTACTTATTGGAATTCGCGTAGGAATCACGTTGCTTTCCAATTTTCTCACTTCGAACTCAAGGACATTTCTATTGGTGTCCGTTTGTCAGTCAGTGGGTCAGCAACACACGAACATGAATAACTTATATCTGCACCTTGATCATTTTGTCCTTTTGTGGCCATTGTTTTTAGAAGAAGTTTATTTTTATATCTGTGCTTTTACAGTTTATTTTTAAGTTCCTATTTATAGCTCATGTTTAATCTATGTGTTACTCCTTATTTTTGCATGTTTTTGTTACAACCTGCCGATCAGTGTTGTGGCTTGTCACGATGTCCAAACGTATAATTTCCTGTTGGCCAGGCTGACGTCAATGCCCTTAATAGGGTACATTGTTCATAACCGTCCTACTGGGAATACATGCAAATTAGTTATAATTAAAATTTCTGCCATCATGATCAGAGTAACATCCATAATCTTAGCCACTACGGTTGTTTCATATTTAAATTATGACGCGACCGTTATCTTTCAAATACGTACGAGTACGACCTAGACAACATGTTAAGTTTAAAAATCATTTGTATAGTTTTTCTTCTGCCTCCAATAAGAAAATGTTTCCGTTACGAATACAACAAGTTTCATCATTAACGGCAACATTGTTTAAACATTTTATCCTCGGAGTACCCTCAAAAGAGTTTCTTAATTATCCCTTCACTCCAACCCTCCTTTAATCACTTAGTTCTTCCTTACTACTCTCATGGGAAGCTATAGAGCATTCGTAGACTTAACTAGAAACAACATGGTTCGCTAAACACAGACTATATACCTACTTGCATGCCTTCTATAAAAACGTTGCGACTGTAAAAACTTTTCTTGCAATTTCGCTTTGCTTTCGATCCTTCGGTTCTTGTCTGTTTAATTTGTTTTTATTCTTGCTAATGCTATGTCCAGTATCCTCTTTTACAGCCTTAATTTAATTGGATCTTGCCCTTTGGGCAATGTCAAAGGACAATTCATTGACCCAATGGTCAATCTACTTGGTCCCAACTATTGTAAAGTCAATTTGTAGCTGAAGCCATGGAGATAATTACAGATAGTTGCTAGATAAAGTTTTCAACTCCATTTGGATTTGAAAGTCTCGCCTTCCGGCTAAAGTTTGTTTCGAACTAAATTAAGTGCTTACTGAGATATTCCGACGAAAACTTTGTTAAGAATTCACAGCGATTTGTTTTTTGAAACATTATTTGAAACTTATCTTCTTTGATACTGAAATTGTTTGAGATGAAAATCACTTTTCTCTTAAATGACTGTCGAAGTGTCGATCGCAAGTCGTATTAGTATACAATTAATTACTAATTAGGAGATCGTAAATTACTTGATATCAAAATTGGAGAAAAAATCGAGGTGTAACCTGAAGTAAATTAGTCAATTTAATGTTAAAAGCCAATTAAGATTTTTTATTACCTTATAACCTACTTTATTTGATGTTGAACTATAAAACTTACATTCATAATAATATTTCAGTTAGTACTGACTAATAATTGTAAAATATCCTGTAAACAGATTAATTCAATGAAACTCTCACCTCTAAAGAAAGTTATTGTTCTTACATTTACAAAAAGAATACTTTGTTCTAAAGATTTGTATATTCGAAAAGTTAAAAGAATAAAGTCGTGTAACTACGTAAATAACTTCTTATTAACAATTTTTTGGAACTTTTGAAGAATTTCCAAGTAGCTACTAGGTACCGTATTTTTCAGTTTTGGAAATATTCGCTCCAAACAATAGGTACACGTACATTCCAAATAAATAAAAGTCAGATACGAGTACTAACAACCAATACCAAAGATTTTCCAACTACCCACACATCGGAAATAAAATCTATATCACGTGTATTATTGAAATAGCAAAGAAAGTATCAGATGGCAATTAGGTAACGAAACCATACCGATAACGTCTGACAATTCCAATAACCGTTATTCCCAATAACGTTGTCTAAAGATATCCTAGAGATCACTATTGTGTGATAAGTATTATCTTTCCGTCTATCAATGAGTCTAGTCTGACAAAGCGTCACTTGTTGACAATGGAAGTGCCGTATTAGACTATCAATGGCTTCTGATAAGCTGGTGTGGTCTCCCACTGACTAGGATGACATAACAAAACAAAATATGATGCTGTAATTCCCCTTTAAGAGATATTTGCAGAACTATACATGTAGTTTTTGGAGTCGATCCTAGTTATTACTATTCGTGGGGTTATCCCGAATTTGGATTGTGTTCTTTCTACATGATAATTTATCTAGAGATTAATTCAGGAATATTATACTTGACGCTCTCTTGCAATGCCTAAAGCAGAGTATGAAATATACTTTAAGTGACAAATTAATTTACGTAAATATAAAAGATTAAAGGTTAATTTCAAGTTCACATATCTCTAAATCTGCGTAGATGTTTTTCGTCAGCCCTACATTTCTTTCAATCCTCATTACAATTTTCAAACATTTATTAGGTTCTTTCCAGGTACATACAAACACTCCAAGAGCTGCTCCGCCTTGCCACTAGACCCTCGCTGCTTCCCTCCATCCAGCTTGCTTCGCTTGTCCTACAAATGCACTGCTTTGATTACATCATACTGCACTATGTCAACATATTGTTAGATACATCTAGCTTAAACGTCAATAAATATGGATGAACAGAAAATAAATTATGTGGATCATTGTTTTGTCTCCAGCATTGATTCCTATTAATATTTATTGAATATTATGTCAAATAAGTTAAGTGGTCACCTTTGGGATGTGATTGTCTACTTAAACTGATATTACGAGTAATCCATTCTGATTTTAATGGCTCTGTAACAAAGAGATTGGATCTTTAATGTCTTATTTGATTTATGAATGGATTTGTAAGTGCCCATTTAAATGTAATAGTTTGAAGAAATTTTATTGTTTTAGCTCTGTTCAATATGTTTTTGGGACAGAAACTCTGAGTCACAATGAGTATGCAAAGGAGTTTAGTGGACTAGTTCTCGAAGCATTTTTTGCTGAAGAGATTTATACAAGCCCTAAATATTTGTCTATTGAAGATTAACGAAAGCTGTCAATGATAGGCACAGAATTGATTAAGTTATTAATGATTGGTGTTTTGGATGATAAATTATCGTCTCATTATTAAGTTGCTGCTCGCGTGATTACCGAGCACGAGATCTCGGGTTCAATCATTGAATAAGGAGTTTTCATTTTATTTTAATGATGTTGAAAATTATGTGATAATTGTCGAGAACACAAACAATCCTTTAACCCATCTGCTTCCACACACGAACCTTAACAGTTAACATAAACATCACCAGTTTAATTAAAAGGGTCGACAGTACAAAACACACGAAAATATGGCTCGTAATATACCAAAAACAATATGGAGTCCCACAAATCACTTATAAATTGTTTTGTACTGAGTCAGCTGTTCAGACGACTCTGAACTGGGACCCCAAGGTCAGGGTAATAGAGTAAATATCTGTTTATTATGTGATACTCCAATTTGTGTCTAGTCGGTTGACTAGTTATTAGGACCTGTGTATATTTGTACTGATATATTCGGATATATTTACTGTGATTGTACAGTTATTGTGTGTGGATGATGGCTTTATTTAGCAAAGAATATCTGGATGAAATAATTGATATTGTATTAGATGTCTGTTATTAATAAATGACCCAAAATTGGTGAACTTTGACTTTTATTCATTGTACTTGGGATCGGAAGTAACTTATTAATGTTATCGGATGTATTACTTTCAAAATAAGTGTTGCAGTATGTTTTAGTTACTCATAACCTACCTCAACGATTGTCTAAAGTAATTTTAAACCACCGATTATTCCAGAGAAATTTGAATAGATTTCATTAAATCAAAAAAGGCGTTATAAATTTCTGTTCACTTTATACGAGAAATGATACAAAATTAAAAAGATAGACAGATTAAAAGTGATTTATCTAATAGCGTATAACAATAAACTGGAAAATATTTCACCGTCCGATACACAAGTGACTCATAAAATCTCGTACAGGCCATGAATATAGTCCTTAATCATAAAATGACAAACCATTAACTAAATAGAATATTTCTTTGAAACATTTTTCTATTGAGGTGATTTTGTTGCGATCGATTTGACCTACTGAAGGGCCTAAAAATATCTCGATGCTCGCAAATTGTGAAATTGTATTAGGCACTTAAGAATCTTGAGCTCCAATTCCACCTGATAAATTGGAAATAAAAATAAGTTTGAGAGAATTGTTTTTTACTTCGATATGAGCGTTTTTTACCTGAGAAAAGGCTAGTGATGCCAATTAACCGGTGAAATTGTATTATTTACGCATGTTTGTATGTTCACTGAATTCTAAAATACTCATGTTTTCGCACTTGAAACAGTGATTATCCAGTTTGCACGTAGGTACATATTGCCAATTTTGATGTCTGAATTGGCAGAAAAAGCTAAAGATGTACCTATTTTTAAAATTGTCTAATAGTCAGTCACCTTTCATTGTCATT